CTATCTTTCTATAGAAGGTTTTAAAGCATCTAAGATCTTTATCTTTTATCAAGAATATTTTATTTTGTCATATTTTTGTTCTAGCTTATGAGAAAAGGCTCAAAATTTAAAGCAATTTATTTATGAGTGCTGTTCCCCCAAGTTTGCCTGTGCTCTGGTGACATGCTTTTATAGAAAAACTGTCCCCTAGAGGCTAACTTTTAACATGTAACAATTCCTTTTGTGATATTTTTATTAAATAATATTCTCGAGCAAAATTTTGAACATTTTGGAACATCCCTATCTCAGATGAGAAGTCTAATTCCAAACACATTCTACAGTAGAGGAGTGCCACAGCTTTTTTGATGAAAAAGTAGGTGGAATTTATTAGCGTGGACCAAGAAAAGTATGTTTTTATTGGGCCTCTGCCCAGATATGACTAGTCTTTACAGCTAAAACAAGAAGAGAAAGAGGAATGCCTGAATCAATGTGTGCATATAGGTTCAGCTCATGTATAGGTGCCTGCCATAGACATTACCACCTAAGTGGGTGATGTTGATCAGAATTTTAACTAAACTAAACCCAGGGTCTTGCTATGGCAAGTGTCAGACAATTTTAGGACTATTATCTAGTTGCTCTATACCCCTCGTTCTTCCAGTCAGTCAGCGAGCTTATCGTCCTGAGGAAGACAATTCAAAAGAGTTATTTCTAAAAAAGGTGTATTGTGGGCAAGCGTAAATTATAATTCCTACTTCAGTGGCCCTGGGATAGATGCCATCCTGAGTAGTTAGCGGCTGCCTGGCCAGCCTTGGCACAGCCAGGAGGAAAGTCTACCCCCACAAGCACACGTTGCAGAAAGCACACGAGGACTCAGGTAAGGCGTATGAGGAGGGATGGATGCAGTTGTTACTCAGCAACACATCTGAATGGAACATGTATAGAGAGCTTTGTCTATTGTGCTGCCTTTTCAAACTGAGTCGATAATGCCAGTGTCGGTTTCAAGCGAAGCGTGTGCCAGATTACAGATAGCTAGCAATGGCATTTGAGAGCTGTTAATTGTGAAACTTGAGAAGAAAATGTGCACATTCTTTTTCAGAGTGCTATTCGAATGATGCCCTTTTTATCCCAGAACACTGTGGGTTTCACTTTTATTCTCTTCCCACATAAAATGCATGAAGTGCACCGAGTCTCTTTCACTTGGCAGCTTATATATTGCATTCTTTGCAGGGACTGCTTTGGCTTGTTAAAATGTACCCCATGTATTAAAATGAAATTGTCACTGTTGTGTGGTGCAACATAACATGGTTTGACACCAAGTGCCTGCAGCTACAGAAAACAGACTTTTATTGCATTTATTCTTTCAGAGACAAGAGTCTCTGAAGGCTCAGTGCAGACATTCGCTTAGTTAAATCTGAATGAAGCCAAAGTGAACAATCTAAGTCACTGTCTTTGTGCTTGTAGAAGTAGCCCGGCCCACATCATAAGCAGTGATGCAATCTGGAAGAGGCAATTTTTAATGATTCCACCTGAAACAAATGGGCAAAAGAATTTGAATTCCTCAGAGAATTAAATGGGCAGTCAGGATTTTTATTTTTTTCCTTTCTTTTTGGTAGTGTGGGGTGGTCCTTTGAACTCTGGCAAAATTGTATCCTGGGAGAGAAACTCCCACTTGAGCCACTCTTTTTTGACAGGAAGGATAGGGGATAAATTCATTTTAAAAAAATCTAGACTGGTGAGAAGTAAGCAATATATATATGTCAGCGGAGTCATTTTGTGGAGAGTACCTGGAGGTAAGCACTGGTGTATTGAAGGAGCATTGAACATGTTTTTTAAACAGAATCTTTCTAAGAAATTATTAGCTTTCCATTTCTCTCTTTCCTCCTTTCAAAGTTCCTAGACCTACTCTGTAGCAAAGTCAACTGTTCCCTGGACTAGTTAATTTACAGGACCTGGAAGAATGGTGAATTCCCAGATGTAGTATAACCATGATTTGGGATTTGACTATGTAGCTTTGTATTCCTTACATTTCTTCAAAAATATATGTACCTGTTAATGCTTTAATGTCTTGATGCTGAAAATTATCCTGAGGTCATGTGAGATGAACAGTAAGGCATTTCCCCTGCCAGTATTACATGTAAATTACTGTCTTACCCAGAATTTGACTTTGTTGCAATAGGCATATATGCATTGCCTTTGGTTTTGCTATACAGTCTGTCTCTGCAGGTTGTTTCTTTAACATTGTAATCCTTAATAATTGTTGTTTAATCCTCCATGTTCTTCTCCAAATCCTGTAATTATTTAATTTTTTTATGCCATTTGAAGTTATTTTGGGTGCACAAGGAATCTGCAAAAATGTCCTTTGCCTTCCCAAGCAGCACATGAGAGCATAAAGAATGCCCTAGTTCAGGGTGATCCCCTGGAGGCAAGAGGGGACTGTTCATTGACACTGCTGTGGCTCACACACAGCCAGGAGTGCAGCTGCAGACTGTGAGGGTGGCAGGTCCTCCTCGCAAGCCGTGCTGTACCCTAATGAGCTCAACCAGTTTCTTGAGAGAAATCGGCAAGAACAGCTTTGAAGATTTCTCTCAGCATCTGTGCTTGCTCTTTTTTCCTCCTTTTGCCTTTTGTTTTTGCTGACTGAGTACTTTCATGATAATCTAGTAACACATATTGCCTCTACCCAAATCCCACTCTCTTCTCTTTTCCAGAATGGAGTCTACAGAAAAATGTGAAGTAGTAATTCAACATTTTAATGGCAAATATCTGAAAACCCCACCCGGTCTACCAGGTAAGTCTAGCCATCATTATGAAATTTCAAATTCACTGAGGAGTTTAGAATACAGAAATACTGGAATTTATGTTGAGAGTGGCTTAGATTACTGCTCCTGACAGGAGGGCATATAACTTCCCTGGCTGAAGCCCATCTTTTATGACACAGCAACTTCTTTCTTGCCCAAGTTTGTAGTTTCAAGCATTTATACCTGACAGGAGTAAATTTAAGAACATACAGCATTCATGTTGTCTTACTGGGGTTTTTTCCCTTTTAGATGTTGATGGGGTTCTTTTTTTCCTAATTAGAGTGGCAACCAAATACCTAACTAGGTGTACAACTAGATCAGCAACTGTTGCAGGTTATAAAATAGCCAGCATTTCAGGTTGTAGTAGCTTTATATTGTTAAAAGGTATTAGTTAGTGTTGCTAGTTACTTTTACTAGTATTAGCAGCATAATCTATCAATACTGAGGGTATTTAAAATACTAGAATATCTTATACCATTTGCACTTGCCATAGCTTAATGAAATCCTGGCATTTTCTCACAATACCTATAGAATACATATATTGGTGTGTTTGTGCCACTTTGAAAGCAAAGTTCCAGCCATTATTTTACTTTTCAAATCTTCAGCTGTCATTGGTGTGTCCATCAGATGTGCAAAGTTTAGTGATCAGTTGCCTGATACTTAGTGCTTGACAAGACCACCCGAGGCCACAAATCTGCAAAGATTTCTCCTTCAAATTGTCTAAAGAACTGCATTCAATGAGCATGAAGTACATGCAAGAATTGTGTCCTAAGTTATTATCTCTTTCTTTTTCCCCCCTAATTTCCATTAAACTATTTTCTTTTTGGGTTACTTTCATTAAATTCCTCCTTATTCATTGCCTGGTTCTTTATGCAGAAGATGCACTAAATACTCTAATTAAAAGAGAGCCATCTGCACAGCTACTGTGTACAGTAATTGAATGCTGCAATGTACACATAAATTTTAGTTAGATCACCTTCATGAAAGAATATAAAAATTTTAGTACAAGCTGCAAGACTCCATTTTATTATTTCTTTTCCAAAAGTAGTCACTGACAATTTTTCTCAGCACCAACTAATGAATTACACCACCAGCTTTGTGAAATACAACAGACTGGGGCTGCATAGAACAATGAGCAAAGCAACATAGGCAGAGAAAGTAAACCTTTGGCATGCCTTTCTGTATGCATACATTGAGTCCC